GGGCTGTCTGTCCTGCAGAGAACAACGGCATGGCAGTAGGAGAGGTTGTGTTTGTTTAGATGTCTTCAGTAAGGATCCCAGCCTTATTTACACACGCTCTCTAACTCCGAGTAGCTGAGTTGGATCACATAATGACCGCTGATGCCGCCCAGTCATCCCACTGGTGTCCACGGGGAACGATTCTGAGCCTGGCAGATGGCTGCAGGATTGCAGAGTTACGCATCTATGTCCTGGATGTTTGAAAATACGTCCGTCCTTATCATACCGAGGAAAGAGTTAACATCACCGTGCTTAGGTTTAATGTTTGCACATTCCTTTAATAGAATATTTTCTAATTGTGTGTTATCAATCAGTAAGGCACTTCAGCTTTGCTCAGAAACAGGTTTTCCTGATGAGCAATGACATGAATTGCACGGAAGGCTGACTCTGATCTTTCATGAGTGATTTATGTGTTTTCACCCAGGAACTGCAGCAAGCGATAATGGAAGACATGGTGCGGTTAGGAAAGGAGAGCGGACTTCATTCCTTTGAGCAGGTAAAATCAAACACTTGATACACTATTCAGTGTGGCCAGACAGGCAGTTTGTCCATTGGTGTCGAACGGGGATGTGTCAGCGTTTGTTCTGTTACTACACCCTTGCTGCGGCTGCACACAATGTTTTCTGAGGGCGAGCTTTACTGCTGGCAACTTGTATTTGTTCCTTTGAAAAATACACTGTGATTCTGCCTTCCACTCATGCTTGAAATTTGAATTAAATTTAATGAAAATTTTGAGTGCAGAGGTAAAAATCTAATCCGAGGACATGGATGATGTCTCCAGTCTGACAACCAGGGCTCAAGATAAATACCCATAGGACTCTGCAGGACTCTGCTGCTTCTGCCACTGAAAGCACTGTTAGGAAACTGGGTCGCTAATTACCGTTCTTATAACTGACCTAGGAAATGCTATGGGTTTATTTATTTTCAGCCTGTGCACTATTTCTTTCCTGGAGCTTGTGTAAATATTTCTGCAACAGAGCTGTAAACACTTCAAAAGGAGGGATCTGAAATCAACCATTGATTACAGCATTAAAAACACAGTAAAAAATCCACTGCATTTTAAAATCCTTATTTCTGTTAAAATAATGAGCATCTTAATCATTATATATAACTAGGAAGGGCCCTTTTGCTTTTGTTTAGACTGTTTCTGGGTGGTAATTCTGAGTAATTCACCATATCGGAGTGCAGCTGAAGCACCATCAAACATAAACTTCTTGTTCTTCATTTCTCAGTTACATATGCAAATGAAATGATAGTAAAAAGAAATTAATTTAAAAATGAAATTCAATAGAAAGCACGGTTTGCAATGCAGAGAACTGTATGTGGTAATAAGTCTGTTTTGTTCCTGCCGTAGTCTTCACGGTGTGAAATATCCTCAAGCAATCTATTCTACCAGCATTTTGCAATTAATAAACAACAAAGTAGTGAGGAAAGCCTTGGCGTCTTTCTAACAGTTAAAAAGAAACGTTTCATGTTTCAAAACTGAGGGGCTTCAAAATTAACATTTCTGTTGCAACACGTAATCTCGAAACCGAACTTTGAGCCAGATATTCCGGGTACCGCTCTCGTGGGTTGGGACCCCCCTCACGCGGCAGAGCTGCTTTTTCTCCTCTCCGTCCTTGCCCTCTGGCTTGGGAATGACACCGCCGGCTTCTCTAACCAACAGCTCCCCGGGTGCTGGCTCTGCAAGCCGGTGCAGCGAGCAGGGGAGCATTAAATAGCACGACCACTGATTTTGTGAAGGAAATCACTGGGGGAGGAACCGGACCCCAATGCTTACGGGGGAAAAATGAATCACACACCTAATGGGAATTTAAACATCGATTCTCAGTCTAGATTCCTGCAGCTCCCAGCCTAACCAAACGCTACCCACTCTGGTTTGGGGAATGACAAAAGCAGCAGATGGCTGGGGAATCTTGTCTGAAATCGGGGGACTATGACCAGTCACGCAGCCGTTTTCTGCTTTCTCCCACACCAGCCCTCCCATAAACGCACTGGAAGGAAAAGCTCGCTCCCATCTGCGCTGCCAGGCTCCCTGCTGTGCTCAGAGACGCTGCTGCTAACAAGAGCAGCCTTGTGAAATCCCCTTTGCCTAGGATGAATGATTTTAGATCGTTTTAATTAGCTAGTAAACCACCATCAATTCTCCTGCTTTAAAGACGATCATCATGTACGCTCTCTGTGCCCGCAAAGCTCCACGATAATTTTGCAAGACCAAACTGGTGCCGCTTGCTTTCTTCTGCAGTTCCATTCAGCTGATATTTCTCAGCGTGACTCCCTGCCCTCCCTCCTTCCCCTCTCTTCCGCAGCCGTTCAGCCGCGTGAAGCTCTGCGGTTGCAGCATCCCATATGGCGATGCCGTCCCTCGCGCTCTGCCTCGCTGCGTCCTGGCCTTGGTTCCGTACGGCAGAGAGGTTTTATCTGCTCATTCCCTCGGGGAGCTCCCTTCCACGCTGGCTGCCTGCCGGCTCAGCGCGGACGCGGGAAAACAAGCAGGAGAGCAGGGAGCGGTGAGGGGTGGTGGAGGGATTTAGTGTCACCTTGGAGGACACCAAATGTCCTTTGGTGAGCAAAATCCTGGGGACCGACCCGGCAGAAGGGTCCCCTGGGCTCCAGGCACAGCCAGAGGTAACCGCAGCAAGGCTGGCGGAACAAGTTCCGCTTATTCGGTGCGATGCCTGTGATATTTTCTACAAATGTATCCCTTTTTTTATTTTAGGTGAAAGCCATTTACATTCACTCTGATATGTTCTCAGTACAAAACGGTTTGTTGACACCAACGTTAAAGGCTAAGAGACCGGAACTTAGAGATTACTTCAAAAAACAAATAGAAGAGCTATATTCAAGCATCTCCATCTGAAACCACGGGAGGAATCTTCTGAATAACGGACTTCGTAGCAATATTAGAATAATACTCAAAAGTACAGAGCCAGAGTGACACAACTGAAATGGATAAGCATCTGAATCTGACATCTGAGCCTTTCATTCTTCTAGGATTTCGCCACTAACCGTAATTTTCCTTCTTTTTTCCATGAGGTGTGATGCAATTTATTTTTTACTTTATGTACACAGTAGGGTACTACTAAGAAATATGCTAAATTACCAGAAAATATACAGAAATTCCAATCTACAACGAAGTAAATTATTGAAAAATACCTTATTAATAACTACAACCATTTCTAATTACAATAGGGAAAATTTCAGGTATGTCTGTTGCTATTTGATTGTATATAACCTAACACGTTAGAAACTAAAATTGTGGATAATTCAGTAATGTGGTCTACCTCAAACAATCAGTGATTGATGGTGAAAGTCTTCTCTTCCCTGACCTGGAACTTCAAGCTGGATATTGGTTTATATATTAAGTGATAGTTTTTATATTTTCCAGAACATAAATTACATCGATCTGATTTAGCCATTAATGACCTAACTAACAACCAGAACAGAAGTAGGAACGAATCTCCCGCTATTTGTACTTAACAGACCTGTTAGTATATTACATCTAGCGGATTAATATTACCTTGAAATTAAAAGAACGGGTTAGGAAGTGATAGGATAGAATTCCCTCCATCTCCTTTTCATCCGAACTCCATTTATACACGGCCTGCTGCTTTTGCATTAGCGCAGCACGCTGACGGACAGCTGAACTACTCACCCTGAGACGGCTGCAAAAGCATCGCTGGCTCTGTGGCGGCTTTCGGGGGGGGTTCATGTTAACCCGGATGCTCCCAGCTCCTAACTGATTACTTTACATGCTGCTAACACTGCGCAGCCCAGCGGGACTGACTCCCTTTCAGAAACAGTGCTACAGAAACGGCGCACCAGGCATAAGCTGCGATTTGATTTTAGCAGAACGAATGGGTCTGGGAGAAAGGCCAGGCTGAGACGCAGAGTGGAGGGCATCCTCCGGCTGGCCGTGGAGGAGGAACAAGTGCTGCTCCGAAAGGCCTCCAGGGATGGGCGCGAGGCTGAGTTAGCCAGTGCTGCTGGAAGGTGCCGTGGTACGGCAAAACGTCGGACGTGGCTGCAGAAAGGGCCTGCTGAGAAAACATCTCTGCGTGCAGACGCCTGGGAGGCTCAGCTCCCCCCGTCGCCACTTCCAGTGGCCTCTCTGGAGCAAGCAGCGAGGTGCCTGGGTGAAACCTGGGATTTCACAACCAGCTCCAGCCATTAGCAGGGGGATGAAGTCCCACGTGGAAGAGGAACAGACTCTAGAGCTCTCTCCCGATCAAAGCACGGTGCGAAACAATGAGAGAACTGTAACGTCAGGTTGCTTGGATTCCTGGACTGCTGGTGGCTTCCTTCTGCTCAACAGGGTCCTAAACACATTTGTGGACGTTACTAGCTGCTGTTGTTGCACCAGCACATACTAGCATGGAGCTGTGCCTGCCAGGTGGTCTTTGCTAGGATGGTGAAAGCACACTTACTTTCTCTCTTAAACTGGAATCCACTGTAGACTTTTGAAGCTAAGAGTTTAAAATTTTGATCTAAGTAATCTCTTCTTTTCCTTCTGAAATTCCACTGAATGCTTCAAAATGGAATAAACCGAATTAGTGAGTTCGTGTTACAGGAAGATGGATTTATTGCAGAAGTTTCAGAACAAAACGATACCAAGGGAACCGTATCAGCTAACATAAAGACCATGGCGATTTGATTGATCGAGTGTGGAAGGATTTGTCTGAATCCCCTCTTGCGCCCAGTTCCTCATCTGATTCCTGTGCAATGACTCCGATCAGTCCGAACCAAATCAGCAACACCGCTGCTGCGATCCGTGGTATTGCGCGTTCCCCTCTCACCAACGTACACAGCAACAGCTGCCCCGGGGAACCCGCGCCTGCCACCTCTGCAGAGGACAGGAATTACTGGATAAAACCCGGCTCTTTAGGTCAAGCCATAAAGGATTTTCATCTCTGCACAGCCTAGTTCATCTCCTTTCTGTATCAGCCAAAAGACAGTCGTTACACACACACGCTTCAAAGCAAGGAAGAGCTAGTACAATTCCCTGCTTTAATGCGACGTGCTTTTAAATTAAAAAAAAATAACTAAGTTATCTAAGTGAGTACAGAAAAGCTATTTTCCACTGACATTTATCTACCACATGAACTTAATTTACTTTTCTCCTAAGATGATTTCAGCTTACCAGACTGTTCTAGATAGCTAAACTCTGACTTTGTATAGGTATAGAAGATCCCAGTATGAGCTTATTCATGGCTTAGATGGCTGTTATTTTCAAGTATATAATGCTGAATAATATATCTGTATTCTTCTTTTGGTATTTGATGCAAAATTTCAGATGCGCTAGAGCCAAAGATAAGAACACCAAACTAACAAGAATGAAAAAATACAGACTTGGCCACAGTAGGACGACGCAAAATTTGGGAGATATTGTGTTGTCACACCAAAAGGGTGGATACTTTCAGAACTTGTGAAAAACTGTATAAATAAACTGAGAGCTCTCTTTAATACTTTCTTGTGTAATCAGATTTTCCTCTGCAGGTCGCTCTCTCGCCATAATCATAACAATGCTGTAAGAGATTAAAGCTGGAAAAGAACACATGCGTAAGACATGAGCTAGGCACAAACATGCTTCTCTTCAAATTCCAGGAATATCTGTTTTGCTTTGAGCTTTCTTAAACTGAAATGCTTCTTGTGACCACCAAGGAAAAATCCCCAGGGCTGTCCAATAACCACTTTTTTTTTCCCCCTCAAGATAACTACTTACAGAATTAATTTCCAATATTCATCATATTGAAAGAGTTGAGAGCCAAGTGCCATTGTGTAACTGGCAATGCAAGTTACCCATCTCTGTAAACCGCTCTATTCTTGCTGGCTTCAGGGTGACTGGCTCTAACAAACTGCTGTCATCTGGGGGTTCATTCTGCCATAAATTAATGAAACGACACGGGAAGCCCACTGAAAGGAGCGCAGCTCGTGGGACGCGCGGCGCTGCCCCCCGCCACGGGGCCGGTGCTTGGTGCCGCAGCAGCAGCTCTGCGCCCTCCCCCCCGAGGCTCACCCCACAGCTGGCGTGCTCGGGGCTGAGCTCTGTTCTCGGACTTCTTCAGCACGGGAGCTTCTGCCTGGGCCCGGTGCTGCGCCTCTGAAATCACCGGGAGGCTGTCTCCAGTGCGCGCACAGAAAAACCAGAATAAATCACATCTTTTTCAAGAAGAGAATGTTGCTTAGTGACGTGTTTCGTACGTTCTTGGCTCGATAGATTGCACAAAGAAAACACCGTTCTGCAACGGAAACGGTCACAGGCACGCAGCAGTCTGAGCAGACACCACACCAGTCAGCCCTGACCCCACGCGGGCAGGGAACCCAGCATCAGCCTGGCCTGGAGGGCACGTTCACAGGTTACAGTGGTTGAGGCACATCAAGTGAGAGAGGTGGTGAGTTGCTTATTGATAAAAGTACTCTTCTGCAAGCTGTCCTCACTGTTAGTAAGTATAGATCAGCATCAGTGAAGTCCAATGTCATTTTTGCCATGAATACGAAGTTCTTGCATATAACAGAAAATAACCTGACTTAATCTTCTGGAATTAAATGAATTAACTTAGATTTATTTTTTTTTTTAATTTTCCATGTGTTAAAAGCACAAGTGGTGATCTATATGTAAATAAACTGCTACAAGATGAATGTAAACTGTGAAAGAATATACTATTTTTGCATGGTAACAGATTACTTAAAGACCTCTCGATGCCTTACAGAAAAATGGGAAAAGCATTTTATTTAGAGGCAATTCTGTCTGCATTCTTTTTGTATCTTTAGCTCTCTTTGGTTTTGTCTGTGGGGAGAAAAAAACATGTAACAGAATGAGATCCTTGTTTCTTCTTGGCATTAACATTCTTCGGGACTTTGCACATTCGGTGGTTTCTACGCCGTCTTTACTCCTGTGAAGTGAGGAAGCAGAGGCTACGCTTTTCGGAGGCTTGTCGTCCAGGAGGGAAACAGTTTTAGATCCCTGCAATTGTTCCACAATAAAATGTTTTCCGAGGCATCTAGAGCCCCTTTAAGCCCTGCACTTCATTTCAGCTTTTTGTTACGTATTTTAGCAAAGTACAAGCAGCGAACAAGTGAGGCATTTCTGTAAGTGTTGCCTATTCTGCTTTCAACTGACAGTGAAGGGGTTGCAATGTAACATATACATTTGTGTAAAAAAAAAATCTAAACTGTAATTATAAATTTTTCAGTTTTGGTATATTAGCATGTATATCAAAAAGTCATCTATGGAAACTTTTTGTAAAGAATTAAATTGTCACATTTCTCGAAACTGCTCGTAAGATTTTCTCGTGGACTGACAAACAATAAAAGCTTTTTTATAAAACCTGTTGTTACTCCAGCACTCTGTCCTCACAATCGGCATGCAGTCATTCAGAATGCGTGCCTACACTAAATGTGGTGTGCAAAAAAAAACAAAAACGTAAAATAAAATAATGACCAAAGGAATATTGGAACCTGAGACTGATTTTAACACTCTTCTATGAAAAAATTGTTGCAGAGTTCTCTGAAGATGCCGCAGTCTTTCTGCAATAGTTTCCTTTTTTATTTTAAATCAATAATAATATAACCAAATGTATGTGCTTGTTTAATATGAATTGACAGCTGGGAATGCATAGTATTTTTTCAGACTATGTGTCTAAAACAATAAAGTCTAAAAGCGCTCAGTCTATTCCAGTTTTTGCGTGCACTTGCATCTCCCCCTTCACTTCGAAACCCAGTAACGCCAAAGAATCATCTCAAATTTTTCATGTTAACGAAGCAACGAGATTCCTCCGCTCTGCGAGCCTAAGCTGAGCCATCGGGCCTTGCTACCTTGGGGACTAACATCTGGATATATTTTAATAAGGCGAACTAACC